GCCGACAATCGTTTAACTCAGTGAGAGTGGGAAACAACAGTAGAGTCAGACTGTACATCAGTGTTAGTATACTCGTGAGTGACTCGTCGTTGGAGCTTTGTCTGGATCCCAGGGCAGTGTGTGCAGACAGCAACACAAAGTTATTTCGAATTGGACCACACAGACAACGGATTTCGTTGGAGTCAAGAGAAGCTCATCGACACTATAGCGATCATTTATTAAAGTTGTTCCCGCATCCGATCCGGAAATTGGGGATTGCCTTGTCAGTGAGACAGACAACTTCCTGGGCCTTCGGCATAGATAATTAATTAGTGCTGTGGGAAAATCAAGACAGATGGACAGAAACAACAGAGGAACAGAAAAGAAATAGGACCAACCAGTGTCGCCCTCCAACCAACAGCCTACGTCTATAGTCAATACAACTGTACCTATGTAACAATGTGACGAGTGGTAATAGAGACACACAAAGTGAGACAGAAATCTTGATCGGACGAAAAGGTTGAGTTCTTGTCTGAGGCGGGGGGCAATGGCGAACAGAATTAATAATTTCATGTCGTTTTACTTTTACGCACCACATTGAGCGCAAATGATTTCCTACAATGCCAAACAGTGCAACGCCCCAGGGGCACGAGAGAGCGCGGAAACGTGCGTTCAGAAGATACTGTATGTTCAAACAAGAGAGAGTTTGAGGTGTGCAGCCTAAAGGAAGGTGAAGCGACGAAGGTCATTAAGGTCAAGGCTGAAATAAAGACGGCACCACAGACAAGAAAGATTTAAGACCAAAGATATAGAAGAAGCAGCATCCCCCCACCCTTCTCTCTCTCTCTTTCTCTCTCTCTCTCTCTCTCTCTCTCTCTCTCTCTCTCTCTCTCTCTCTCTCTCTCTCACACACACACACACACACACACACACACACACAAAACACGCCATCTGAACAAGCCATTCTCCAGTCTACATCCACAAGAACGTTCTCATCCAGTCGTCCCGTCTCCCTGATCCCTCCACCCCCAGCGCACATATATCACGCAGTCCTTGTATGTGTGTGTGGGGAAGTGGCTCACTGTGATAGAACAAGATGGCCTCCCCGATGGTGGTGGGTCATGGCCCGGACCCCGTACAAGGCTGGGGCACAGGACACCAGGGAGAGGCGCTCTTCAGTACGGCCGCACCGGTGAGTTTTTTGGAGGTTTTTTTTCCCCTTTCTTTTTGGTCCCGTGTTCACGTGTGTCAAGGTGCCCGGTGTGGCTTTGAGCTTTTTTTGACATTCAAGTATAAATTTAAGAAGCACATCGGCACAATAATAGTAGTCATTTGAGTACTTACTGCGAAAAAGTAAGACAGACAGACAGACAGACAGAAACATGGTAGGGGAAGTGAAGAGGTATGACCGAACAGTGGCGCCCTCCAACCACCTGCAGCTTTTCTACGTTTGGTCTTATGTGGAGAATATCACATACTTTATTGCTTGTCTTTTTTTGCCGTACAGCTAATTTTAAGCACTCAAGCAACCTTAAAATATAAACTTTTCGTTTATTTATTTTTTCAGCTTAAAGGAATTGCCAACGCGTTCTTCCAACGACGATGTGTATTGCCATTGATTTTGGGCAGAGTGTCAAACAACATTGGGGGAGGGAGGGTCACACGATTGTCAGCTTATCTTCAGTTTTTACCAGAACTTTTCCCCTACAGCAACAACTGTAAATTACACTGTTCTACTGTCTCCCCCAGGCGTTCGACACCTACCGCATGCCGTACGGCCTCCCCCGCCCCCAACAACAGCCGGCCTCCACCAGGTACAACTCTCCTTACTACAACGGCAACGAAGACGACGACTTTGACGACGACGATGATGACAACGATGACCTCCTTGACCCCTACGATGCCATCTACGGCGAGCTGGACCTGAGTCGCGTGCAGGGTCAGCAGCTGGCCATCTGGACACACAAGTCTCCGGACACCCTGGCGTTGTTCACCCCCATCCCAGGAGACTCGTTCATCAACCTCGTCTCCTTCGCCAGGACCTCGCTACGCTTCAACACCGCCGTCGATAAAGTAGGTCACGGGTTGGGTTGTTTTTTTTGGGTTTTGTTTCGGGGGCGTTTTGTTGTTGTTGTTGTTGTTGTTGTTGTTGTTGTTGTTGTTGTTGTTGTTGTTGTTGTGTGTGGTAGCCTATCCGTTCGAAATGTTTGGAGCCCCGAAGAGCGTGCTCTTCGCCAGGGCCACCGCCGCTCTTGGGTAGCAGGTGAGGCAGTCCAACCTCCCTGTTGTTGTTGTTGTTGTTGTTGTTGTTGTTGTTGTTGTTTTTCTTTCTTTCTTTCTTTCTTTATTTGTTTATTTGTTGTTGTTGGGGGGGGGGGGGGGGTCAGTTTTGTGTTGTTGCTGTTGTTTTTTGTTTGTGGGGAGGGGGTGTACTTACATTTTACTTTTTAATTAATGTAGAACCTAGGTGTTTTTACGCCCCCATCGACACTATATGTGAGGCAGCGTGGTGGAATCAGGC